GTTATTCTCTCTGATTTTCAAAACATCCTCACCTTTGATCCTTTCTTCTTCGAACTTGAAAGTCTTGGCTTCGATCGACACCTCAGACCTCCACCTTCCTACTACTCTGAACCTGCCCTCGTCCAAGAACCTACCTTCCATGGGTTCTAACAAGTATTTTCCTCTTTACACCAACCTACCTTCCATGGGTTCTAACCGTTCATGTAAATCAGAATACCATAGAGAAACCATCCAGTCCAGGGGTTTTAGATCTATCCATTGAGAAGATTGCTTCCTAGATTTCTTCTACGGGAAACCTTCTTTCCGATAACTGGGGATTGTTCCTCAGAGACTTGCACCAAATCATTCCTCGATCAACTTGCCCATACTTTATCACTAATTAGGCCTACTCCTAAGTCATTTTTACTACAACCATATTTCTTCTACAACTTTCTCCTCTTCCTTTCACAAGAAGCTTGACCGAATCAGCAGATAGTGACTTCTAATTGGTATCAGAGCAGGTTGAAGGTTCTAGAAGTGATTCTCTCATGCAGCCCTAGATCAGCCGACTGCATGGAGATTTAAGAGGCTGATCGAAGCTCTTAGGTAAGCCTAGTTTTTTGGATTTTCTTGATGGATCTGTATGCCCTGTAGCTGGTCTAGGGTTTCTCATCAGAATCARGAAAAACTGGAGAAAGGGGAAGAGTCCTGTTTTTGTTGGACTCTTCAATTTTGACCTAGGTAGTGGCACCCTATTTTTTTAGGGTTCCTTGGAGTTTTTTATAAGGGGTGATTCAAGTTCCACGTGGTTTGGAGGCTTCTAGAGAGGGCGATTGCTTTTTCTCTCTCTTCTTTCATCTCACAAAAAAGGAATCTTTCGTGGGAAGAAAATCCAGGACACCAAAGGAGTGTTGTTGGTTCCAAAAGGTGTTTCGTTTGTTCTTGCTGCATTTTTTTATTTGTTTTCTATACCCTTTTGAGAAGCATGGAGGGACACAAAGTTGAATATAAGCCTGGGAATGAAATGAGACCTGTGGGAGGAGGTGCTGGAGACCCTTTCGGAGTTGGGACCATTACTACAGTTGGGTTGGATGGTACAAACTACTTAGAATGGTCCCAATTTGCAAAGATGGCCATTGGGGCTCGTGGAAAATTGGGATATATTATTGGTGAAGAGGTGAAACCTGAAATTGGCAACTCCCGGTGGGTGTAGGAAAATTATATGGTAATGACATGGTTGTGTAATTCCATGTTGCCACATATAAGTAAAAATTTTTTATGGGCAAATATTGCTAAAGAAATATGGGATGGGGTTGCAGAAACCTATTCACAAAGGGAGAATGTTGCTAGGGCTTATCAATTGAGAAATCAGATTATTGTTACAAGGCATGGAGATAGATCTGTTGCAACCTATTTTTCAGTCCTTAAGACCTTGTGGCAGGAGATCGACCATCTAGAGACTTTTGCTTGGGAAACCACCAAGGATGCAACTACCTGTCAAAGACACTTAGAGAAGTATAGGGTGTTCGAATTCCTTGTTGGCCTTAACCCTGAGTATGACATTGCACGGCAGTGTCTTCTTTCCAGGGATAGTGTCACTCTCTCCCAAGCATATGCCTTTGTGTCAGGAGAGGAGTGCAAGAGGGATGTAATGATGAAAAATCTCATTTCTGATCAGTCCGCTATGGTAAGTGCTGTGAAATCTAAACAGAATGGCAATGAAAACAAGAAGGAAGACAAAAGGGACTTAGTCTGTGACTACTGTAAGAAGCCTAAGCACACAAGTGATAGTTGTTGGAAGCTTCACCCACATCTTGTGCTGACCAGATTGAAGAATAAGAAAGGAAATGCGCACATGGTAGTTACTAGTGACAATTCGGNCTTGAGAGGTTTGGGTTACTTCTGAATCAGAGGGATACAGCTAGTTCCAGTTCAGCCGCAAGCGGACAACAAGGTACAGGTAGCACAGGTGGAGCTCACTCTACCTCTTTTGCTCACACAGGTAGTTCACATATCACTGCAAACTGTGTTTCTGCTTCAGGTAAGGAGAGATCTCCTTTGATTATAGACTCTGGAGCCTCAGATCACATGATCCATTGCTCTACTATTTTCTCCTCTTACCAGCTTTGTTCTGGCAGAGATAGGGTCTCCATAGCTGATGGATCCCATGTTCCTATTGCTGGGAAGGGATCTGTCAAGATTAATGATTTCATTCGTTTATCCTCTATCCTCCATGTGCCTAGATTGAGCACCAATTTATTATCTGTTAGTAGTTTGACTAAGAATCTGAACTGCTCAGTAATTTTTTCTCTTGGACGCTGTATTTTGCAGGATCTGGATTCAAAGAGGACAATTGGGAGTGGTCGTGAAGTGAATGGGATCTACCTCTTGGATGCTCTTCCTCTTCACCAAAGTCATAATGTTTGTAGGGACAGTGAGTAAAAATCTGTGGATCAGATTATACTTTGGCATAATCGTCTGGGTCATTTGTCTTTTTTTTTATATCTAAACATTATTTTATTTTATTTATTTTTGATCAATAACACTTTCATTAATTCATCAGTAGAAAATTTACAAGTGGAAGACAAACACACTTATCTTCCAAGAGTCACAAAGAACTTCAA